ATTTCAAATTTTGGGAAACCCTGTGTTAAATGATGCTTAAATTTAATGGTTCATCATCTAATAAAATTCGTAATCTAATAAAAGCCGTAACGAACCCAACGTTAAACCAATATTGTAGTTAATGATTACTTCAATATATTTTCTATCGATCTTCTCGTTACCATTCCAATTCCAAGCTACATACGAAGCAAACGATTTTTATCGAGCTCTAAAATCTGTAATAAGAAATGGCGTGAGTAAATTCCGTTCTCTTTCCCTTCCACCTCTAATTACACCTTGCAAAGATTTCGCGTGATCCCATCAGAGAGAAAAGGTGCATTTATTTATCTTTTTTGCAGTTCTAAAAAACGGGAAGTATGAGAAGAGGTGAAAGTTCAAATCTGCAATGTTCAAATGTACAAACCTATGGTTTGTGACCCAAAATTAGATTTTTAATGAAAGCTATTATCATGTGTCAAAGCGAGGAACTAGTTAATGTTAATAATTTGGGTGTAGGACAACTCGAATATGTTGAGTCGTGTAGCAAAAAAAGGTTGAGAAACGCTGGTCTACAGGAATATTACGATTATGTAATTGTAATAAAACTATTATTTTTTTTATTACTTAATTAGTTTTTTAGTGATGTATGGTACACATGTCGCAAGTTGCCAATACTTGAGATGTTACTTGACAAGTATCGCGTAGTAATGAGGCCGAGTAATATTTGCTCATAGACCTAATCAAATATACAACAATGCAGAAAAAAGGTGTACAAAAACCTCGCTTTCGTATGTAAATCGATTCCTCTTTTGGCGTGCCAATTACTTGAGATGTTACTTGACAAGTATAACGTAGTAATGTAGCCGAATAAGATTTTAGCGTAGACCTAATCTAATATACAACAATGCAGGAAAAAAAAGTTGGTAAAGTTTGCTCTCGTATGTAAATCAATTCCGCTTTTGGCGTGGGTTATTTGAATATTTCGTGTCCCGTTGGAGCGAAAAAAAATCCATAACCGGTATTGCATAATGCAAACTCTCTCTCTCTCTCTTACGTTACGGGTTCGGTGGAACCTTTTAGCTATGATATAATTTACTGAACATTTCAAGAGATTGTGTTTAGCACTTTCACAAAACGCTTTATTGTTTTATTTCTAGTTCTTCGCGAGTTTAAAACGCGCTAACCTTTATTTAATAATTACCTGTTCTTATCGATAATTTCAATCCGGTTGGTTCTGTTAATATGTTGTTTTGTGTCTATTTTTATTTATTTACTGATTGATTGATAATTCACTTTCAAATATATGAAGAAAACGTTCCACGATTGAAAATAAAAGTGTTTTAAATTTTGTTTTTTTATTCAAATAATCCGAACTTTCTTTTGCATTTTGAAATAGATAATAAAAATAACTTTCTCCTCTATCCATCCATTAAATTATTGATATATTTCGAAATATACTTGATTTTAATTAAATCTAATGCTGATAATAACAACCGAAATTCCGACATTCGCAATCCCTAGAGTATTAAAATCCCGACAGTACTAGAATTCGGAGTATTCGAAAAACGTATCAGTATTCATGGGATTGTTTATAGTTTATAGGTGCAGATTTCTTTGTACTTATGTATTTGATTATACAATAATTGACTAAGATTTTGTGGATGTCTCTTATACATAGATCATAATATATTTAATTATTATTCAATATTTTGAGGCTCTTTGATGGGCGGTGGGACACGAATTGTCCCACCTTTTGAACATGCCTAGTGAGGCAGTATTATAACTCTCTAGAAAATGTCCAGGAAAGAGGAATTATCATTTAATTTGGTTTTTGTCAAAAGATGAATCTTGCTAGGCCATACCATTGGATGTTGACGTAGCTGTCTGATTTAGTTGTTTAGATATTTGTTAATATATTGAGGAATGTCTGGCACTTCAAAGAGTTAAATAGTCTTGGTACCAAATATGTTTTATTCATTTACTTATGGGCCCTATGAACCAGTTAAAAAAAATAATAACAGAGGTGGAGTGTCAGTTCTTGGGTCCCACGTTACCGTGGGCCCATTTTAAGATTTGAAGAACACTTCGAAATGCGCCAAAGATTAACAATACCAAATCGTATGCAAGGATAATTTACTCGTTTGATAATATTTCAATATAAAATCATTGAAAAACTACAGAAAAATATAAATATGTTAACATATAAATGTAAAGCTAATAATATAAATATTTGAATTTAAACAATACCAATATTTCTAATCTACATTTTTATTAAAATGTAAAAATTGCTTAGAAAATAACAGTTATATCGAACATATTGTTATTTTATAAAATATAAAGTTGATATTATACAATATGTTTGATTATAAGTTATATAACCTAATGTACTAAGTGGTTATTCTGTTATTGATCTCTCTTTAAATTATGCTATATAATCACTGCATCAAAGAGATTGCATTTAAATAATTAGACACGCTACAAAGCTTATGACTACATTGCTTTTACCAGACTAAACTTAATATTGAACGTGACACGTCCAAAAGTGGGTCATAATTTTTGAGTTATTGGATATACAAGTTTTGTTGAAGTTTTATTTATAGCAACCGTTGTTATCAAGAAAAATATTAGTTTTTTTGAGACTGAAAAATGTTTCTGTAACTTTCATTACAATAAATCAGTAAATATTCAAGTCAAGACATTTTATAAGTTCAATTGCATTATTAATTTGTGTATCTTATATAAATAGTTAACAAAAAATTAAAAAAAAAAAAACGTGATGACACTGATTTCCAAATTTGACAGCTCATTACAAAAAATTGATAAATGCCACCAATCAAACAGTTTGTCATTTGAAAGCTTATACATTTGACTTCAAATACATTATTAATTTAAGTATGTGACATGCATAGATATAGACTAATTGAATAAAACGTGAAGACACGTGCTTTCTCGAAGCTTAAAAAATGTTTGTTTAAATTTGACAGCATACATCAATAAATCACACTAATCTGATGGTATTACATTTTAAACCCTGCACATTTGCCTTTAATTGCATAATTAATTTGTGTATGTAACATGATTAGTTATTGAGTAATTGGAATAATACGCTGCTATTTCGAGCTAATATCACAAATTTAAGAGTGTAAACATCTCTTTTTCGAAGCATACATTTTGTTTCTGCAACTTAGACAGCTCGAATGTCATAAATATGACAGTTTACTCATTTCATAGATCATTATTTGAATTAGGCTAATACCTAAATCCATTTAAGAACATCAGTATACCATTTGCAAAAAAAATTGTTTATGTGTGAATGCCAAATACTTTTTCACCTGAAACGTATAAATCTCTTTTGATTATTACCTTATTACCATTGCATGGCAATTACGTGTACTTCTAGCGTAAATGATTCATTTTAATAAGACGTGTCGCAATTAAAGTACATTATATACCGATACGTAAATATAATGTATATATACTTCGAGGAATGTTTAAACGTTCATGCATCATAAGTTTATAGGACGGAAGACGGGTTCGGTTCTTAATCAGTGCACAGTTTAATAAAGCGTTGTTTAATTTTACTATTATAATAGGAAGAATTAGTATTCTATTAAGTTATTCAATAAATTAATTAGCTTTTTCTTGCTGAATAATTTATATAACTTTGTATTGAATTTCGTTAGAAAATGATGTATAAATGCAATAATAATCAATAGAGAGAAATACAGTTCAAATTCATCTAAATTTGAAAACTATATTTCATAAATTAACAAATTGAATCTTTAAATTTTAGTATAAATCGATATTCTTGACTAAGTAGATGTTTATAACTTTATAATTATTGGATTAATATTTGTTTTACTTAATCTACACAACTGCTTGAAATACAAATAGAAAGTTAAGGACAATCTTTCAACAAAGTTCGAAATATTAAATTATTACTAATGATTCAATGAAATGTTACTGTAAAGAAGCAATGTTTCAATGTATACTATAATTTATTTACTAACAACTGGTTTTGGTTGCAAGCAGCACGCAATCGCTATTTCTGCGAGAAAATTAAACAATAATTTTTGTAGCAAATTACTCACCGTTTTCGAAATAATTCAAGTCAATTATTATATAATCAGTGTAGGACATTGACACTGGACAGAATTATTTTGTAGTCAAAGTTATTATTACATGTACTTGTTCTTCTTTTCCTCTGCACACTTCACTTCACTATTTGTTAAATTATAAGAAAATCCTATTTATTTTTTATAATATAATTTATTTACTAATATTTATTTACAATATTGTTTTTTTTATAAATTACAGTGTGAATGGTGGATATTCTAAATCAGCGTTTCTCAACCATATTTGTACTACAAACGCCAATAGTTTTTCACAAATTATTTGCTTTGACACAAGGTGACAGCTGTCATTTTGCAACCTATTTATAACGTGACTCTATTTTGAATGGTAACCCAGAACCGCTGTTCTACATGATTTATTTTAAATTAGTTCATAAGTACTTGCAAAAGTTACTTAGCAAGTATACATTTCCTCGATAAAATTTCCAATAGTTTTACAAATGTTCCAAATAAATAATATATTTCTAGGGTTTTCGTGTTTTCATTACTTTCATAAAATATGTTGGCAACATGTGTGTTTATTCTCTATGCGGTTAGATTTGTACCAAGTGGAAGATCAAGAACAGATTTTTTATAATTCGTTAATATCTTTCAAGTTATAATGGAATTAAAGTTAGATCATTATGTCCTATGATTACCACTTTAATAGTTTTAAATGACATGTTGATGATGTTTCTTGTTGGTATCATTATAATTGTTGGGTATTTAGAAAGGAATAGTTTTTATGTTATGACCTTGTGGAACGATCATCAATGAATACGGTATATTTTCTTATTTTGATGTAAATAACTATACTTAAGTTAGTATGGAAGAAATATAATGAATAGAATTAATATGTATGGCATTATTTGTATGAAACTGTACTAAGTATTTATTTGTTTTTGACAGGGAGCGAAGGTATGGATACCTCATCCAGAGAGGATATGGGAGGCGGCGGAACTGCAGGAAGACTACTCGCCTTCAAAGAAAACTCTGCAGGTTCTTACAGAGAACAACGAACAAAAGAGTCTCCAGGTGAAAGCCGAGAAGGAACTTCCGTTCCTCCGCAATCCGCAAATCCTCATCGGCGAAAACGATCTGACTTCGCTGTCGTACCTGCACGAACCTGCCGTTCTATACAACCTACAGGTCAGATTCTGCCAGCACAAAGACATCTACACGTACTGTGGCATCGTGTTGGTAGCCATCAATCCCTACGATGATCTTCCAATATACGGTAATACTTTGCATAATGTAAATGTAATGGAACTTTTATATACGTCGGAAGCAATCGTTTGAGATTGCTGTTTGCATGTTAATAACAACAATTTCTACTCTCGGGCAAAAGGAAACCGCTTTATGTTATCTTATTGCACTGCAAATTCGTATTGATCGTCTTCCTGCCGCTAACGTAATATTAACGATTGCTTCCTTCAAGCCAGTGGGTTAAAAGCCGGAAATGATTTATGTTTTTAGTTTTCACTGACATAAAAATAACGATATATTCAACTAAAAACTTTACTTTTTTTTGATGGAATCTTCAGTACACTTGTTTTTGACAGCAAATTGCATTCTCTAGATTCTATTGGATTATATATAGTTATAGTTTCCGAGTAAACCAATGAAATATGAAAACGCTGCTTTTTCGAACGTTCTAATTTCAATTTTTCAATTTTGAACGCGTATTACAGCAATATGGATAAGAATAAGATAAGAAAATCAATGAAATGTGAAAACACTGCTTTTTCGAGCATATTTTTCAAAATTTGAACGCGAATTACAGCCAAACGCTACAATCCACAGAATAGTATGAATACTTGCTACATTCCCAAACATTCAGCTTTAATATCATCTTTTGGATTCTTTCTATGTATTATAGTTTTCGAGAAAATCAATAAAATGTGAATACA